TAGGTTTTCGGCGATGCACTAACACACTACCCGTGCAACTGATTTTGTCCTCCAAAATTTTATTTATCAATTGGGCAGAATGTATTTCTGATTTGAGCACTTCTGTTCCATCACTTTAAAGCAAGTTTGGCACCTGTTTTCACTTCCTTCATCATAATTTATTCCAAAATAGTGAGAGCTAGAATTAGGCACATTCTCCATAGACACCATCTTGAATAACATGCCCGCTGTTTTAAATTACTATATATGACCTACCCCAAATGACAGGAGAAAATCTGTGTTAGCAATGGAAGGCAAGCCGCGAAAGTGTTTCATACCTGAATGATTTAAATTTCCATTCCTTCTATATATGTGTGGTATACCTAATGCTTTGTATGAACTGAAAATCTCATTTCCAAAATAAAGGAAAACAAAATAAAACATGCCATATTTATTTCAAATTTATACAACATCTCCCTTTCCTGTTTTTAAATTTATTTCATGTAGTAGGTGTTTTGGATTACATCTTTATAGAATATAAGCTGTGTAAATACAACATAACGTACTTATAATACAAATGTACAAATTGCCAAAGAGTGCAACCCTCCATATTAGAGAGAAAAGAAACTACAAGCACTACCAAATTCAGCATACGAATCTTCTGGTGACAGGCATGAAGATTAAACATATTACGTAGATATTACATAGTGAAGTTCACATTTGGAACTAATAATAAGACTTCACCAAACATTGAAATCATGATACTTGCTAAATTTGCACAAAAAAAAACATTAAATTTGAATTAGAACATATTGCTGACATATTCAAATTATATTACGAATCCATAACTACAATAGAGGCTCAAAATTAGTTACAATATGAAACGGTGCCATAATATGTGGTACTGTTTTTATATAACTTGTGATACATATGTTAATTTACTGTTACATTTAAGCTATTGAATGTACTGATTGCCAAATTAATTACATTACTTATTTGCACAATGGCTATATCTTTTCATACTGCTACATTTGTATCAAACTTAGCCATAGCCCTACAGATTTTAAAAATTTAACTTAATTTTTCTGTACAGAAATCTAATTTTTTAGTGCCTTTTTATGTTTACAACTGTATGTGCCTCATGGAAGTTCTGTAAATGGTAACATGGTGAAAGGCAGTAAGTATTTAAGAATGTAAAAATTGTATGATAATCACTCTTTTATCTCAAAACTGTTTCTATACATGTTCCTTTCAGTCACTTCTTTTATCTTACTACAGGCAGTGCATTTGTAACAAATTACAGATGTTTCCTCCACAGATCTATCATGGCATGTTAAAACTAAACAGTGAGTTCTTATACTCTGCAGACTGACATTTCTTTTGTGATGCGAGTTTATTGTATGAATGATGTACAATCTGTATGGTCATATATTCTACAAAGCTTACACTAAAATCTAAATGATAATATATTTTTCATGTAAATAAACAGACAATTATTCATAATGCTGAAAGACATGCTAATTCTAAACACACAATGCTACCACTTATGGTGGTTTGATTATGTAATACAATGTCTTGCTTTTATCCTGTAAAGAACAGAGTGTAAATTTACTTATTTTATGACCAAATAATTTCACACGAGTTTTAAAAGGGTGTACAAGTAAACTATTTAATGGGACATTGCTAAAATGTAAATCTGAATGCAGCTGTTGCAGTCATTGTACCATATACTGTATTATGTTCTAGCAACTTCTTACAATATTACAAAGACAACAATATGAATCACAGTTTCTGTGATCCTATATTGCCCATAATATACAATGTACTTCTGTCTATCCTCTACAGCTGCCCTCTTCTCCTTTGGTAAAAATTACAGCTCTCCTAATTTCCATGGGCCAACATTTCAAATACTGACATCTTTCCAGAGTACAAAGTCACAAACTGAACTACACAGTTTGATCCACTTAAGCTTATAAAATATTTTGTACATGCTAACTGTGAATTGTACATTATTCTGTAATCTACTGTTACATTATATTACACTGCTTCACCTGTTTACATTAATTATTTTCCAAGTAAAGCTGGCTCTATTCACTGTAAGTATACATTTTATTGTCACTTGCTTGATAATACAAGGGCATTATAATGTGTTGCTGTATAAATTATCTTCCATCTTAAACAGGTTACACACAACTGAATTTCACTCCTGAAAAAAAAAACACAAATCATTTAGTTAATTAATACAAATTCACTTCAACTATTACCATGTAAATCACTTGCCAGCATACTGTTTCACTCATAACTTAATTCTGCACCTTCTGCTTGTGTAAGTATTGTTACAGTTTACCATCATCCCACCCAGTCTCCCTTCTTTCTTAGTGAAATGAACAGATAATCCAGACAGAATCTGAGTGACAGCAGATTGGGTCACTTTCAAGAAGTGCAATGAATTACAAATATCTGATACAAATAGAAAGATGAATCACCAGAAAAAGGAATGGCGTGAACATGTCTCAAGAAACAATCACAGCAGAGCGTACTGATGAACCATAACATATAACTTGTGGCATTCCAAGATGCTGGATGACAGAGAAGATGGGATAACAATCTTAAGAGGGTTTCTGCATTATCACAGTCCTTCTGGGTCTTCCTCAGTACTGATTATGATAAATAGTGTATGGTCTGTTATGGTGTACTTGAATAATACAAGAAAGGGACTATTAAAAACAGACTTAAAAGTAAATACTTGTAGAACTTCTCTCCAATTTGAACCTATGTAGTCTAGTTGGTTGAGGCACTATGCTACAAGCTGGAAGGTCATGGGTTCAAGTCCCAATGAGGTGATTGGGTTTTTTTTTTCAATTCCTTCCAGCCGCACTATGGCCTCGGGGTCGACTCGGCCTCTAACAGAAATGAGTACCAGGAATTAATTAAATAATTTTCCTGGGGAGTAAAGTGTGGCTGGCGCGTAAGGCTGACAACCTTACCGCCATCTTTGAGCCAACTGTCTAGATAATGTGGGACCCTCATCTCACAACCCTATGGGCCTTCACTGCCTGGTACAGGGATAGCTTTGCCTTTTTTTTATTACCAATTTTAGGATTATTAATTCAGAATACGAAGGCATGACTGTATATTTTCCCTTAAGTTTTATATCTTAATTCCACGTAGAAGTGTGTTTAAAAGGTCAGACACATGGGAACTTTGAATTATATGTACAGGGTATTTATAAAATTAATAAATGTTAAAATGTATGATTTTGGTTGTCTTGAGGTCAGATATATGAAATATATGTATGATAAAATATGTTCTAAATTTTTGCAAGTGATCTGTGTGTGTTCTATTCATTACACAGCAGATGTCCCAATGGTAGTCCCATATCTGTTGCTGTATGGCTCATGTAATATGGCACTCTTCACAGTTATTAGAAATGCAAGGGGGTTAAGCCTTGCCACAAAAGGCCTTGGACAAGTTTCACATTTGTAGTTTCAATAGACATTATGCAAACAATTTCTGAAGTTAAGTAAGTTTATAATTATCCCACATGTGTGCATGTCTTCCGCACATCATAAATACTTACCATCATCGCTAGAGTAACAATTATGACAATGCAGTTTGTTGTTTCTAACTCGAACATCAGTTCCCATAAGTCCATCACCCAACTGAACATGACAAACACAGCATTTGAAGCAGTCAATGTGGTAAAACAGCCTCAGACTTTCAATGATCATTGCTGCACCACGACCTATAAAAGTCGAAACAGAGAATCAGTGGTGACTTGCTATGTATATGTAATAATATAAATTAAACGCTAAAGAGCAAATATGTAACCAAGTGAACAAAATGGTTACTTTGTAAAGTGTAAGAAGATAGAGCTGCCATATCCCCTGTGAACATAGCATCTGACATTGCATGCTGCAGCTGAGTGACTAGCAGCCCTGCTTTGTATTCACGAGATCCTAGGCTGTAAATCTGAACCTGACACTGGCTATTGTGAGATTTTTTCAGTCTTCCTCAGTTCCTCCAGGAAAATTCTTTGATAGTTACCTTAAAATATTTCATCACCACTTGCTAATCCAAGTGTCTGAAAACTAATAACCGGAAACTTTTTCTAGGTTTTTATTAGAATACTGCAGGAGAAAATTATGAAGGTAGAGCCCATAGATACAAAATGAAACAAAACGCATAATTAGCTTCGTTGATAAGAAAGTGACCACAGATTTAACAGAATACACAGGTGATGCCTTACCAAAGACTCACTGTTTGCATTAAATATGTGATTTTCATTTTTTGTCTACACATGTGTCAGGTATTTCTTCATATTCCATTACTTACATGGTATAACCCGTTTTCATCTTCAATTATACCCAATTTGTGCAGTCCTACAATAAATACTTAATAATGGCATCCAAATGACAGTATAGTTTACAGGTTTAGATATGAAATACAAATCGTGTTGTTTACAATGTAGAGCCCTTAGATGAATTTCTTAGACGTGAGATCAGACATCACAGTTGAGTAGCTAACAGTCCTACTTCATATTCAGGAGGTCCTGGGTCCTGGCCTTTACTTGTAAATTTGGTTACCCTGACTACATTTCATGACTTTTCTTAGATGCTCTTAAAAAATGCTGGGATAGTAAGTCAAAATAAGCTACAACTGCTTTCTGCCACATTACCAATTCCAGCATTTGAAACTATGTAACCCACACAGCTGAAAAAAGTGTTAACTAAATAACCTAACTGTGAGTCTTAGAAGTGCGAGAAAAAAGTTATGAATAAAAAATGTATACTCAGGTCAGACAAATAATAAAATTAGTTTGTTGGCTGTCTACTCCCTCAGCTACCTGCACCTTCCCTCCACCACCAATCAGTATGAAAAAAGAAACTGACAGGGAGAAAGAGAGAAAGCAAGAATGTGACAACTGCTCATAGAAGTGAAGAAGGCACCAGACAGGAGGTAGCTGCCAGGCAGATGGATGAAAGAAAATATGTATTCTTTGGCAGGGAAGGATTCAGGTTGTGATACAATGTAACCTTGTAAGCGAATAACATTTTGGAGGAAGATATTACCTGTCTTTAGTGTTAAAGTATGTCAAATGAGGAAATGGAGCGAAATCTGGGCCAGTGGAAAGGAAAATGGCCCTTCAAGGGGCATGATAAATTTTTATTAAGGGTGGGAAATGGAAGTGAGAAAGAACATTCCCTTTCAGGGGCCCCATACATTCCTCTTAAACAGGCATCTCCATACTAGACTGCATTGTGGCTTCCTTTCAAAATTGTTTCATGTAAGTTTACAAAGCTCAAAAATAAGTAAGAGCCATCTCCAACAGAATGAACTTCAATTGGGAAACAGATGGGAACTTACCCAACTCTTCACCACAATGTGAGCATTTCTTTTTACCGCTGACACTCAACATTTTCTCTTGAGAATCACCAACGTTGCTACTTGGAGTTGAACCATTATTTGGCATGTGTCCAATGGCTGGAGCCTGGGGCTGTGAATCTCTGCAGGAGTTATCTTCAATTCTGTGTCCAACAGCATTTCATCATTATGAATTATGTATTAATTATCTGTTAAAAATATCTCATAACACTAAAAATTGTATGAAAATCAACATAGTATAGACTGGAACTCTAGAACACAATACACCAATAGCAAATGAACAGACTAGATTAACTCCATGAAGAAAGAAGCTGGTTGTCAACTGGTCAAGAAATTCCACACCTTTTACAGAATATCAAAAGTTCAGTACCAAGTTTATGAGATTCTGCCAGAGGAGTCTGTTCATAATCACTTGAATCCAGTCCACACACTCATATATTCCTATTAAGTGTCTGTATCCACTGTGTTTGGTACAAATTTCTATAACAAGGTACTGGTGAGGTTTCCTTTACAGGATGACCCGTTAATCTTTAGAAAGACTAATATGGGATATTAGATTTGTATAAATACCATATTCAAACATAACAGTGTAATTTTTAAGCTTTATTCTCCTGAAATTATGCACTATACCAAAACTTCAGTTCAATGAAAACATTGTTAAGTTTGTTGCATTTCAGCAATTGTCAGTGTATTATACAGAATAACTCGGGAAATCCAAATACGCTCTCTTGATCAGAAACCTTCAAACAAGGGAGCTCATGCTGTTTTGAATTATGGACCAGTAAAACATCAGTGGGTTTTCTTACGACCGGTACACTGTTTGGCTCATAATGTACAGCACATAACAGTTTACAAACCTAATTTTTATCAGAACATCATCTTCTGTATTTCATATTAGGCTCTTTGGCTAGTCTCATCAAAATTAATCTGGAACGATTTATCTTCATAATATGTTTGTAGGACTCCTTGGACAGGTGATCAGCCCAATCACAAGGCTGCTATTTACATAGGACAGCACAAACAGAGAAGAAACATGGACAGACAGACATGCTTTAAATGGGATTTGAACCCATGATCCCAGTGTTTGAGTGGGCAAAGACATTTCATGTCTCAGACCATGTGGCCACTGATTAACACATCTGAATATGTTTATCTGCAATATAAAAATATTAAAATCTAAGGGAAGTCTTGCAATTAAAAATTACAGATGGGGATATATTGTAACATGTCGGCAGCCCAGAAGAGTAACTTCTATGGAAATGCTAGAATAGACCGTTTCATTGGAAACAACAATTGCTCCATTGTAGTTCTAACAGGAGTCTCCATGGTTATAACAGAGGGTTCGTTACCTAGCAGCGGCCAAGGTTATAAAAGCACAGCTTCGACGAGAAGTCTTCAGTCTTCGTCGAGCCATCTAAGAAGCCAGTCTCGGATCAGCCTTCGGAGAAGAAAGTCCCGGAATAGCCTTCGGAGAAGAGAGTCCAGTGTCTCGCCGAATATTGTGAGCAGTGATTGTAACACTGCAAGGGCAAATGTTTGTGAAGTGTGTGTAAACGAGCGAAAGAAATAAATTCGCTATATTGGGACAACGGTGTGAACTCATTTGTAGCGTGACACACAAAACACGCTACATTGGTGTCAGAAGTGACTTCGAACTTTAACACGCGCCCTACTGCTACAACATGGACATGGAAAAGATGATGGAAATGTTGGCAAGAATTGACGCCAGCGTGAAGTCTGACCAAGTAAAAGCAGAGGCCGACCAAGAAAAGGCGAAGAATGAATTGCTGGCAAGAATGGACGCCAACATGAAGTCCTACCAAGAAACGACGGAGGCGAAGGCGGAAGCCAGACACGCACAGCTGATGGCCGATTGGAAAGCCTGGGGGGAAGAGAGGAGAACTTCCCACAAGAAAATAGTGCCCAAAACAGATGAAGAGCCGACCTCCGTAGAAATGAAACCTGAGGCGGCAGAGCATCAGGAAGTCCCCGTAGAAGACGCCCTGAGAATACCGGTCGGAGAACCGAAGAAAAGGCGTAGGGACCAGAAGCTGGCCGCGCAGTGCCGCCGCCAGACAGCGAAGGATGCAACACGGGTAATTCATAAACCCCAGGGGGAATTGGCCATTGGCCACAGGACATCCCGTCGCGCGACAGTGGCACGACGTTGGAGAAAAGACTTCAAGAAGGAAGCTCCCAAGGGAACCTTCGGATGCCAGCAGAAAGAAGTGGCCGCCACCGGAATAATGACTACACGCTGTGCAGGACACAGGCGTATGGGCCGAAACGCAGACACTGTGGAACAATTAACCTGGAAGATATCCCGTCGTGCGACAGTGGCACGACGTTGGAGAAAAGACTCCAAGAATGAAGTTCCCAAGGGAACCTTCGGATGCCGGAGAAAGAACTTCACGCCACGGCCCCGTACCAGCAATTGGCGGAAAGAACACAAGGAACGACGTCAGCAAGTTCAAACCACACTTCAGATGCTGTTATGTCGATATAAGAAACGCCTGAGGAAGTTAAGGATCGAGAATTGGATCTTATGAAGGGGTAGGCCCCCTCCAAAGTGGAAGAAATAGAACGGCCTTTATGGGAGGAACCGGTAAAATACCGGCCTCCCCAACAAGGATGGATGAAGAATGAAAGTGAAGGATGAGTGTGAGACAACGAGATCGGCAAATTCTCGGCTATGGAAGTGCTCGGGACGAGCACAGCTGAAGAGGCGGGCGGATGCTATAAAAGGGGCGGCGCAATAAGACGCGCGAAGGACACCAAGGCCGAATGCAGACGTTGCAAGCAGAACACCGCGAATCGAAACCGAGGGAGAACCTTTAGGCTGTTCGGGGACGAACAACCTTTCAGAAGGGAGCAATGTAACGTGTCGGCAGCCCAGACGAGTAACTTCTAAGGAAACGCTAGAATAGACCGTTGTATTGGAAACAACAATTGCTCCATTGTAGTTCTAACAGGAGTCTCCATGGTTATAACAAAGGGTTCGTTGCCTAACAGCGGCCAAGGTTATAAAAGCCCAGTTTCGACGAGAAGTCTTCAGTCTTCATCGAGCCAGCTAAGAAGCCAGTCTCGGATCAGCCTTCGGAGAAGAAAGTCCCGGAATAGCCGTCTAAGGGATCAGTCTTGGGATAACCGCCAGAGAAGCCAGTCCAGCATCGCCGAGTTATTGTGAGCAGTGATTGTAGCACTGCAAGTGCAGATGTTTCTAAAGTGTGTGTAAACGAGCGAAAGAAATAAACTCGCTGTATCAAAGAACGGCGTGAACTCATTTGTAGCGTGACACACAAAACACGCTACAATATAAAATAATTTATGTTGTGTGAACATTTTTGTTAGTAATAGTAAGAAGGTGAGCAATCATAACTGACTTGCCTAATGTGAGACAGTGCAAAAGAGAGCAATTAAACTAGTCCTTAAGTTGTGGGGGGGGGGGAACTTGTTATGATAATTTTCTCCAATTGTAGTAATGTGTATCAACTAGAATATGTGTGCTGGCATAAAATAAGACCAGGACCTCTAGCTGAGAAATTCTACTTTAGAATTCTGATGTAATGAACATATCACTTACACATACCTTCTCCTACTGGAGGCTGAGCTCTTACTTTCAAGCATTCCAACCCTGTTCTGAACTCTCTGTGTCAGTGTGTGGATGATGGCATCTGGTAAGGGTTTCTCCTGTCGTGGTTGAGGTTGGGGTGCACTCCATGATGCAGCTGTATGAGGATACAAATGAGGGGGAGAGGGTTTCCTAGGTAATGCAGCAGTCCTCTGTTGTTGTTCAGTTATACGGCGATGTTCAGCTTCCTGGAACGATACATTTATGGTAGGGGTCAAAGTTAATCACTAATATGGCAAAAATCATGACAGCATAATGCACAAAATTATTACAGCTTTTATTGAGTTTTGTTAATAGAATACTAATTTCTCTTTATGGTGAGCTCCCCCCCAAGTGTCACAGCATTTTACACACATCTGGTTCTTTAAGTAATTTTATACTGGATTCTATACAGCTTGATCCACCCTGAATGCTATCCAGACCCATATACCCACTGACACTGACCACCTTTAAACATACTTAACTCACTCATTACAGGTTAGGAGATTAAGCAATAAAGATTATTTTACAGCCTTCTAACTGAACTAACTCCAAATTTATAAATATCTCCTAAATGAAGCAAGCATTGCCTCCTTCAAGTCAAGAGTGAATATTTGTAAAGAAAGCAGTGCCAGATATTGCATTCATTGTGAATAGCTTAACTCTGTCCTACATACTAAAGAGTCTGTTACAATTAATTTAATTAAACTAACAACTAATTACAAAGGAATATAGCAATACTTTATGCCACTGAGTATGAGAACTTCAGACTAACTCCCCCCTGCAAGCTCAATAATTTATAATCTGACTCTATTGCACACTCCTGCTTTATAATATCTCTATCTCACTGTTATCTTGCAGCAGTGGGTAGAAGTTTCACTTTTATGCATATATTCAGATGAATTTACTTTACTTATTCCAGGAATTTGTTTTAAAAAACATCTTTGTAAAGTGAGTAACATATGTCCCGGCATCTGATAAAGACTTATTTCATAATGTAAATATACCTTTACAGCAAGTTACCAACAACATGCTTGTGTAGGAGAAGACTGACAGACCTGTATTAGCCAATGTTGATAATTGTAAGTAGGCTCTCGTCCTCCACTGCGCTGGTTCTCAGGTTTCTTTTTTGCCTGCATCCACATATCATTTGATATGAAACGCGATCTTGGAACAGCACTTAGAGCTTGAAGGGTCTGCCTGCTTATTGGCTGGGCCCCTACATGAGAATTATGGTGGACATGGGTTGATTCCACTTTTTGTGGAATGGAGTCTGCTGATGGCATGCGACTGTTTCTGCAAACCAAGTCATATCTGTGAGATAATGAAATAAATGTTCCTTTGGCCTTTAGCAGAAGACAAGGCTATAAGCCTGTGCCATGCCTTAAAGTTAAAAGTTTGAATCATTANGCGATACGTTCCTCCGAAACGTCGGTTAACACCACATATACACGGTGCCAAATCCCAGAAGACTGCTTTCTTCATAGTCACCGCCGTGAAAGCCTCAAATCTTACATTATATTGTACTTTGTAAATGTCCAGTATGATTCAACTTTAAACAGAAAGCTTCAATATTAAGGCAGAAATACTGGAACATTTTACAAGACCATTTTTAAAATAAAGCTTGTATAAATAAAACTGAAAAAAAGGCCTTATCACCTCCAAGAAAACATATCACATCTCCATTATAAACAGCAGTATTATTTATGGAAACAGTCACTTTATTCTGAGAACAAAAACCCTACAAATACAGACACAAAATGCTGCATTATTTATTGATAAAGCAAATAGTGAACATAGTTAGTCATAGTCAGTAACTGGGATCATAGGATAAAATTCCACTTTAATCATGGATGTATGTCACCATTCATCTGTGTTGGAAGCTTTGCAAAGGAGTAATCAGTCCATGCAGGAATTAGATTCAAATCTTACATCATATGAAAGACTTTCTGCTAAAAAGAGCATACAGAATCAGCAATTTTATTTCCAGAACATCACAAACTTGGGACCAAAATAGAAATAAATGCTGAGACTATTGCTTTATCTGAATGTCTCACCTGATACTGTTTTCTCTCTCCTTCTGTTCCTGGCTAAGAGCTCGGAGAGGCTTTGCTGGAGGGATTGGGGGTGGAGGTCGACGAACTTGGGTAGACACCATGGAACTTGGCCTAGTAGGCAGTTGTTGACCCTGCAATTGCTCCTCCTGTTGCAGATCTGGCAAAGAGAGTCTGTAGTTGAGAGGAGCAGATGATTGGGCCATGGGAGATGTTGGAGGGTGATATGAGTTGATGTTTCCTGTCGGAGCCATAGATATGTCTTGAAGGGACAAGTGTGTTGGGAGCAAGCCTGTAGTTTTGCCACTCCACTGTTGATGTGGCAGAGTAGCTGTGTTTCCCCAGTGTTGTTGCATCTGTGACTGACTATGCCGAAGTTGCTGACTTTCACGGAGTTGTAATGTCTCTTTTTGTCTCTGCAATTCTTCATTTTCTCTCTGTAATCTTTCCCGTTCTGCTCTCAAAGCCTCCTATATGTGGAGAAAAAATGTCCATTTCCTTTTAATATCTTGATTACTTTCAAAGTAGAAAAGGTTTGGGTGATGGCATCAACTACAAATACACTACGAAATATTATTTAGCAATTTGTTCCTTACTTTGAAAGAAAGACAAGTGCCTCATCAAGCCAATTTGTCTACATCTGTCCCTCTTAATAACTTGTGATCCGACAGACATTCGTGAAATCTGGTATGATATGCTATGTTGACATGTGAGGTGGGCAGTGACACTAAGCACTATTATTAACACAGGATGCCGAAATTTGTGTACCTCTGTGGTCTAGTGGTCAGAGTTCCTGGCCACAGATCCAGAGGTCCGGGTTCTATTCCAGGTGCTACAAGATTTTATGAGAAGTAGTGGGTCTGGAACAGGGTCCACTCAGACTCGTGAGGATAATTCAACAGCTGTTTCAAGGAAATGGCTCCGGTCTAGAAAACCGAAATTAACAGCCATGGAGATTTGTTGCACTGACCACTTGACACCCTCTATCCGTTAAGTTGGCACTAACTTTGCTGACAAGAGGCGGCAACTCAGTCTGTATAGTTCGCCTGCGGACTATAAACCACTATGTTTATTTTCTCTCTCTGAAGAATATGCAGCTTCTGTTAAGTAATCTTGTTTGTAGAGTGCAAAACAACACAGGTAACATGTGAATTTGGTATTTAGCTTTGATGATTATAACCAAAGAACCATCAGAGCTCGGAATGTGAAATTTCATACAGGGATAGATCAACTTACCTATTGATTGATTTGTACTACAGGACAATATAAATAGACATGAATGAAAACATTTCAAGAAAAGTAGGTGTCATCTGCGTTTTTTTGTTGGTTACCTATGGAAATGTAATTTACTTGCCTGCAAAATTTGAAAATTGTAAATTGACCTATGTGAGTTATTTTTCTGGATATGGATTTGCAAATCACTTATTTGAACAATTCTTTTTAAGGATGATGGTAGCACTGGTCACTGATAAAACATAATAAATTGCACACTACTAGGACAGGGGAGGGAACAAATCTATTTTTAAAGAGGATACAAAGGTACATACCAGATGTATGATGACAGACTTGAGAAATCAGAAACGTTAATTTTGTTTGCTACAGGCTCTTCTTTGAGGATAAAGTGATTGAAGCATCAAATCAACCACTCACTTCCACCTAGTGCAAGAATTTAAAATGTGTGGTGCTTTACCTCCCCTCTGCCATATGTATTCATGGTTATCAAGATTAAAAACAGTGACAACTTGATATTATTTACAACTTTTTTTTTTCACAATGTGCTGTTTTGAGAAAATCTATGAAGTTTGATTTACCCTTCACGCCCTTATGTTGTCCTCTCACTAACAAATTCAAGAAAAATAAATTTGTTGTGTTTGGAAATTCTCACAGCAGTTACTATGATGACAACTGTCTTATGATATTTGACAACGTGTAGTCTGGTAGATGGTTACTAACGTTTCAAAGCAAAAGGTGGATTCAGCAGTAGACAGTAAATGTCCACCAGGCTACATGGTGTCACACCCCATGGCCAGTGGCAATCAGGAGTTTCTCTGCAAAAAAGAACGTCTGAGAAGAAACTACATATATTGCCTCTTTCTTTCAAACGTTTCAAACCACAAAGTTGATGAAGCAGAAAACTATACTTCACTACTTAGTGAACCATTTTTATGCATATTTTTAATAATACAGATATGCACTGTATTACATTTGTCAGATATATCTTAAAAGTTCTGCACTATTACTGTGATTGTAATTACTAACATCAAGGTAAAAGGTAAAGTTGTCCCTGTGCTCAACGAATTAAGCACTATGCCATGAAGGAGTATGGTGGGTTGGATGTATAGATCCACATTTTCTTGACCTTGGCATTAGTGGTGAACAACATTCCATACACAGTTTGTGATGCTTATGGCGAAATCCCCATACCAAATTTCACAAACCTAACTCATATAGTGTTCATGGAGGTAGGCCTAGGCCCACTGGGGCTGTAGTGCCAAGGGGGGAGGGGGTAGAAAAAGAAAAAAAAAACTCATATAGTTCCCCAGTTAATGAGTCAAACATATGGCTATGTGGACCCGACATCAAGTGGAACTTGTTCCACCGCCGCCTCTCAAGTTCGCATGACCGCCATGTATGGTAATAACTCCGTGGCCTGTAGACCGCAAACGAACTATACCGACCTAACGGCAGCCGCTTGTCAACGAAGTTAGTGCCAACTTTAGCGGATAGAGGGCAGATAGCAGCTCCGGTCTGGAAAACAGAGATTAAAAGACGTGGGGATTCGTCGCGCTGACCACGCGACACCCTCTATCCGCTAAAGTTGGCATGCGGACTACAGGCCACGCAGTTATTAGTCATTACTGACGGTAGGCAATTAAAATAATATAACGCAACAGATTCTTTCCAGAGAAATAAAAATGCGTCAACAGGGCAAAAAGTTATTAGCGGGTCAGAAAAACGGTGATAACACCATCATGAACCTATATTTCCTCATAAAATATGTCAGGACGCTGCAAATGCATGGTGATGTCCATTTGCCAACAATTGATGCCAGCTATTTTATCGGTTGGGCTCTTGTATTCCTATTAGTCCCCACACATTCGTCTAGATGGCACTACAAGCAGAAGTACCGAATTTGAAGTGCTGGGAGAATGCTGATGGATAGATCGAAATAAATTAAGAATTATTTGCAGCCAGTGCTTCCGATATGGATGCAGATTTGTGTCTGTGTGTGTGTGTGTGTGTGACAGTAAGCTAGTAAGTCTGTAGTTTGTAGTGGTGATGACAGTAACGATAATGCTTTAGTACGAAAATACATGTTACAAAGCATGTGACGTGAAGAAATGACACGGTTTAATTAATCAACAGTGATAAAAATGTGATAGTGCAAACAACGCTAAACGTGTGTGGAAATTTCTCTATACTCTCCTGTAAATCATGAAGGTATGTTGATTAGTTCATATCTCTTGTAAAAAAAATTATCTCTTAAACAGCTCCTTGGGGCAACAGGTGGGATTGACAAGCAGCTAGCCGGTCATAAAAACTGAAAAATCTGTTAAAATCGGAAAAGAAAAATACAGCACACTGCCAATTATCCCTGCTCTCCTTCAGGAACGTTCGCAACCTAACCGCACGCTTGTTCGGCGTAGTTCGCTGCGTTTCGGTCCGCCCATCAGTGTGCATGAAACTCGGTTCGTAACATTTTATGTTTGATAATTTTACTAAGTGTTAAATCATGTCGTTTTTCATTTTGTTCGGAAAATTTTTACGACCACTTACTTTTGTACGAAAAACGTGCGATTCCGCGTGTATGTCGAGCATAACTCATCGAACATTTACTGCAGCTTAAAACGTTTCAAACAAAGTTGCATAGATAAGACGAATCATACATAACGTTCATTATGAATTACCATAAGACGTGGTTTTCGAAATAAGTGAACTGGTCGCTGTGCGCATCTTTCAGAAATTCGTTATTCAATAATCGCTATTATCGCCCAAACCCGCCCTAAACTCGGTATATCCGCGTTTATTTATTATCGTCTTCCTCCGTCCTAATAAAGAGGGGGGGGGGGGGGGCATAAAATAGTAATGCAGGGATTCACAAACTTTCTAAACCTCCTCCTAAAACCGCTTGTCAGTGAAATGTGCACATAGTTAAGTCCCTATCAGGCTGTACAGTGAGAGCAAGAAACTACACAGCTTTACACCATCCCTACACTTGGATCCACAGTAAGCTATAAAATGAAGCACAACAGATCATTGAAGGTCGCAATGCAGGGGCCAGATTATGGCCCACCCCTTATGCAAGCTATAAAATGGGCCTGTAGTCATAGAAAAAAATTCAGTTTCTGAAAGTACCTACATTAAATCTTACTAACTTGCTAAAACTGTGCATGGGTACAATTGTATTTGAAATACTTACTCAGAATTTAGCAACCTACCTTAGAGCAGGTTGCAACCATCTGAAGGGTCACAACCCACAGCTTGAGAAACCATGTGATAATGAAACAAGGCCTAAATATTTCAAATATAAGACAGAGATGTTTTGAAAGTAATAAAATCCTGAAGACTTCTACATGATCCAGTCCAAAATACAGTAGCAGTATTCTTGAATGTGAAAAGTCGATATCATTTATAAAATCTGTCATTTTTAAATGATACTTTCACTCAAAAGTTTTCCCATCCTTTCCAGTTTGTATAAAACACTAACCCTTATATAAAGAAAACCTGGTTATGCCATTAATTTTTACATATGGTGAATGGGGAAGGGATGTACCAGACCTCTTGAACTTAATGCGTTGAAATAAATTTTAACAAAAAACAAATTTTATATACATATATATATATATAAAACGGTCAGACCACATTCATATATTTCTCACTGTTTTCATCTATCCTTCACCTTACCATCATCCAACGAATCTTGTTCTTATACGATGACTTCGATATGGACAAATTGGCAAAAAATGAAAATTACTCTGATCAAGATTCATTATAATAAATACATTCTTATTTATGGCATATTAATTCCTGCTGTGTTTCCTACTCTTCTTTTTACTGAAGAGCCTATCTGCTTAAAAAAATTTGATCAGCAGACCAATAAAATGCAAAAAATTAAATGTAAATTTATGTTAATCTAAAAGCAAAGAAACATTTAATCAAATGCATTAATGCACAACACAGATGAAATGAATTCATCAGCCTGAAATTAAATATGTGTATAGTGTGACCTGGTTGATTTGCAAACAATTATTTCAGAAATTACTGAGAGTTCCTTTTTTGAGCCATTAATCTACAAGGGGTTTCATTAATATCGTTTACTACTGGCAATCCCAATTCGGTGTACTGCACAAATGAAGAAGCTTCCGATTTCTGTTAAGAGTGTAATATTGCTTAGTTACGAATTCTGTAAAACTGTAATCTGCCGAGAAAGTATCCTCTGTAAAGCCTTCACAAAACTTTGGGCACTGAGGACCACAGATTGGGAACTACAGCTATAGTAAATTAGTCTATTGGTTACATAGTTACATCCTAAAATAAACAGAGGATGTAGAAATAGAATATGGAAAAAGAAAGTGTTAGTCTTTGGGGAGAATAGTCTCCTACTACCACATCCTTGTTTTGTCCACATACACAGTTCCAAGATTGTGAACAGGAGTCTGCTCTTTCCTGGATTGAAGTACTTCCAACATACATGCACGTACACAGAGCCATAAACCAGAGAAATAACCCCAAAGAAATCATGCCATTTTATCATTTTGAAATCAGTGTATAACAACACAAAAACTATTTTCAATTGCACTGCTGCTAAGTGCCTACACCAGGTGATGCCTACATAATACTTCTGGTAAGAATTTCTTCTGCCGTAGTTTCAACACTATACAGACAACATTAGAAACTAGAGAATTAGAAATCCATGTCACTATCTTCTGCACTTAATCAAGCATCTTATGACACACTGAGATTATATGGTTATCAGCCTACCACTGAGGAACATTATTTGGCATACATTCCGATCAATTCTTGTGAAGTGTTTCCTACAGCAGAATTAGACCACCATTTGTAAGATCTGAGGTTCTCATAACAGTGAAGATTCATATTGTGGTCTTACTCCATCCTGAAGCTGGAAGCAGTCAGTGCCTCCAAAACACTGGTACCCACCTGCCAGACTACATGCAGTTGTAACCCAGAAGTCCACAATATAGACCAACATTACTAACTATTTACAGGGAAAAGAATCACCTTTCATTACATTTGGATGTCTGTAAAGAGTACTAAAAGAGCTACAAATTATCATTATGGATTTCAACAGTATGGAAAATGACATGACATAGTTCTTCCTAGTGTTTAAAGTGTTTAATTCAACTATGTTTTCAGCTGGAGAAAGTAAAGCTGTTGCTTTGAAAATATTATTCAATAGTGGCATCTTTATGCACCACCATGAATATCATTAAAATAAATAATAATATTTTGCTCACAGAAATGTCATTAAAACTGAAATTTCCTCTATATTTTCTACCTAAATTCAATACAGGAGAGATATGTGTGGTCATGTTCAGCTCTCCAGTATTTTGTATCAACAGTGTTATGTCTTCTCTCTTATTGCTGATGACTGTTGTATTCCATTTTAAGTATCTTTTCACACAATGGTATGTTAAAGAAATCTTATGCATTTGGTTTCATGATATGCAAACTTAGGAAGGCTATTTATTGTGGACCCTCCAAAAATCTTGTGTCAATAGTGCATTAAAGCATGTTGGAAGAATATATTCAGTTACTTCTGAAATCAAACAAAACATACCACTGCCCCTTACTATTGTCTTCAGTGCAACATACATGGCTGGCTGTAATGGAATAATATTAATAATAAATCATAATCACTATAAAGCTCAACGCTATAAAGTCGTAAGCAAATACTGCACAAGTAGAAGCATCATAAGGAAATAGCACAGAAAAGGAAGAACTTTAATTGGTTAAGAAAAGCATTATCAGAAGGTAACAGCATTTTATTTAAATTTAAAAGAAAAAGTTAGCATACTGCATACAATATGAAGTTTCTAACCCAATTTTTAACTACAAATGCATGCATGATACAGTCTATGACAAATTATTCGGCCCATCTGTATGTATGTATAATTGAGTTTTTGCTTACAGTACCTTACATTAATTTTTCTTGTTTACTTACTACAGTAACATTTTTACATGAACTCTGCAAATCACTGAACCTCTCTGGTAGAAGAATTGACTCTTAGTGGAATCAACAAACCTATACCCTGAACACATTACAAATAAAACATACCCAGAATATGAGATGCTGAAAACATTCTCTGTTGTTCAGCATAATTCCTGGCACCTCTGTGATAAGTTCACATTAATGCGCTGGTGTTCTTCCTCTGGATATTTTCCACAGCCAACAGAATAACACTGGTATGCTATCCATGGACACTTTTTGGGACAGAATCAATAGATGTGGTTTGTGGCCAGAGCATTCCCTCACTCATACAACTTTCATTTATGTAACACAAAGGTTCACAGATCAAACTCTCACACAAGAGCTGAATGAAAATATCAAAGGGAAGTTTACTCTGTTTCCCAAGAAGAATTTCAGTGCCTATATGCAGAGATGTAGGGAATGCATGTGGAACAAGACAGAGCATTTCCATTATCTGTTGCAATCTGGTTAAGCTTCATTTGTAATGTGCTAGGCTGCAGATTTGATCTGAATTTTTGTGGTCCCTGCTTGATGGGAAAATCAGCCAACTCCTCTGCCTGAGAAGTGTAACAGTTTGTGGTAGGCTCAAATGAATCTCACAATATCTTACCTGTTCATTATTTTGTACTTGTAAAAACTTTGCTGCTGTTATGATTCTACTAAGCAATCTGACTCCATGAACTGCAAACTGTATTTCTTTCAAGCTCTAGTAAAACTGAATCTGAATAAATATAATTTCACATACCTCTGGAAGCAAGATCAAAAGTTTTAGAACATTAAAGTGTCTTTATTTATACATGTTACATCAATGAATTGCAACAGTCATGAATATAAGTGACATGTGGAAAGTAACTTTTGATACGGGTAAGAATTTTCTTCCCTCCATGACATCCAAATCACCTCTGGGGCCCACCCAGCCAAGCACTTTCCCCGGGGGGTAAAGCTGACCACTCACCTCCAACTAGTGCCGAGGAAAACAAAAAATATAGCTCTATACATCTACTCCCCCCATACGCCTTCATGGCATAGTGCTTAATTAGTTAAGCACAGGGACAACTTCGGCTTTTTTTTTTACCGGAACTCGAACTCCAACCCCTCGGTCATCCAGCCTGTAGCCAGTCACTATACCAACTACATTATATCAGAACATTAAATAACCAGCGTCCTTCAACACATCTGCCATGGTGACTCACTGTACGGAAAAAGTCTTTTCCATTCTTTTCATTTTGCCATAAGCACTCTTGTTGCAATCTTCCCTCACTAATCTCCCCAACACATACAGTAAATGCAGAGTGGTGAAACATATTACTATTCCTGGTGGGTTGATGGTCTTAGGAAAATGTATTTATCTCAGTGAGTTTATTGAGAACACCTCAAAATAAAATATTTAGAACACATTTAAAGTGAAAAGTAATGGAATATACCAGAGTGAAAAGGAAAATTAAAATTTTCACTACATGCACATTCCTTACTATTGTTTTTATTTAATCAGAAAGTTCATCCAGTGACCCTTCAGTTGCACTTTCATTTTCTGAAGACAATGCACCCTTGCCACTTTGTTCACTGTCATTCCAAAGAATGTCATCTTGCATTCCATCTCCTGCATTAAACAGCACTTTAAAAACGATTTTGTAACAATATTGACTGGTACTTCTTTCTCAGCTTTTGACATCCACTCCACTGCTATCAATTGTGATTCTCTCTTTATGTCACTAGGTGTCATTATATGATTGACTTTATTCAGCCAGGCATCACAGTGTTTACAGACAAGCTGCTTGAACACATCAAGTTGTTGTAACTGACTTATCATGCCACTAAGAATTATCACTAGATCAGTGTGGCTCTGATAACACACCATGCTGACACACCCATACACATCCAAGCCAGTCTTCCATCAATTCCAACGTCATCCAGGCATTTTTAAATCCAAATTATTACATCCTTGCAAAAATTTTCTTTTGGGTCTTGTCTTTCTCTTTAATATTACATACTGAGGTAAATTATTGCCATCTGGGGTTACACACAGCATGATAGTAACATTTAACTTTTCGTTTTCTGTGGATCTCATTGCCACTTGTTTTCCCCTTTGAAATTTACGGCATAATTGCAGATCTGTCAAAAAAACTGCAGTTTCATCTACACTGCAATCTGACTTAAAGAATATTTATTCCTTCAGTGTAGTCCAATAACAAAACGCAGAAATTCAATCAGTTTAGTTTCAAATTCCAAATGAAGGTTCTGAATAATTTTTGTCCTTCCATTATAATATGCTCTCTCTCCTCATAAACTTCTCACACTATCCATGACTAGCCTTGAAAGGTACATTACTCTTCCTAGCGCATTCTTTTGATTTTAACATTAAGACTTCCCTAGTTACAGGTAATCCTTTATTTCGTAAGTCTCTCAAATACTTTAAAAGAGACATCAACCTAAGGATTTCTCCCTTTCTTTGGTCCAGAAAAAGACTTTTTATTCGTCAGACATGAAAGCTGTTTTGCTTTTATACTTCGATAATGATGTATACATGCCTCACTTACTCTATATTTTCTAGCAGCTGCATGATTATCTATCTTTTCAGAGCACAGAAGAGCAACTTTTCTTTTAAATGCAGCATCATATGTAACAATATTTCCATGGGTGAAAACTGATACAAACTGAACACACCTGAACAATAAGAATGTCAGGCAATTACTGAATTGCAAGTTGGGGGGCTAACTCACAGTTAAAGGGGGGAGAGGGTGATATGGCTTGATGACACACACTGAATGTGTTTACGTTAGGTTCCTCCCAGCCTATCCCGCAGACAGTTTGAAAACTGGTGGATAATTTCTTGAATTTACGACACACCTCAATTTTTCAATAGGAAAAAACTGTGAAAAATGTGCATCTTATATTCAAAATAGTACAGTAGTTTCACAAACTGTTGTAGACGTAATAATTTCAAGGATACAGACCTGAGATATGGCTTCAGTTGAACAGACCCAGGACATGCTTATTAAGTCATAAAATATCCCTGGACAAGAAGGAAATTTTTCTAGTCCATGGCCATTTTTCCTTGGCAGCAAACATTTTAAAAGTACTATACTTTCTTATACTTAATGTTGCTCATATGTAGTTTGTTGTACATGATCATAAAATAGTTTCTTTAAGGTAAAGTATTTGACATGAAGGATGAAACACAGTATGCCTATAATCAATTCCTGCCATATAGGCCTATTGTTAATCACATGAAACTTCTGTGTCAGATCTTGTTTTGCAGTTACCAATTCTTAAAATCCTAAAAGCAGCTTAGATCACTAAAGCAACAATATTGACAACACTTCTGATATTTCACAGTGATTCCTGAATATGGCTGTTTAGCCTGTTTTAACTCAGACACTCCTTATAAGAATTTCTAAAATGTATGTGTGAGTGGTGTTACAAGTGAGACACAATCATGAGAAAGTGTTACAACTGGTATCTCCATAGTATCCTTAGATGTCTGATATTAGCACTTCCACTTCTCACCGTCCCTGTGCAATTTCATCATGTACTAAAATTCACACTTCAGAAGCCTTCTTCTCTTCCAGTTATTCAAAACTACATGTTTTGGGCCAACTGGCCATCATCAGATGTACAAGTCATAAAGGAAACTGCTGTTCTGTTGTACCACTGGTAAACTTTCCACTTTCAAAGTGTAAAATACTGAGTGTTCTTAAATTTGTTGACTGGTTCATGGCTCTGTGCTTCATGATGACCGCAAGTAGCATACAAAATATGCCAATGAATCAGCATGCCAGATGGCCAATAACATCTGTAATGAAGGGATGTAACTGACTTGTGGACCGTTTGAGGGCATAACGTTTCACGGTGAATGTGGTTCATGCATGGGAGTTTTTTATGATTTGTTAACAGCTGGCAGCAGTCATCAGCTCCATTAGCTATTTGTTCCAAGTTACAGTGAGTGAGCAGTGTAGTATGTCATGGTCCGGTATACGTTGGAGCAACATGTTTTTCTCTCTGACACCTATGTGAAATACGGATCTGCTAGAAAGTGTCAGCAAAAATTTTGATGTAAATTTCATGATGAAAGAGTTTCCAGTACACAAACAATTCACAATTTGGTGAATAAACTTAGAACAAGACTCTTAAGGGACAGGAAACAAAAACGTAAGCGCCAAGGGCTTACTGAGGAGAAGTTCAATGTCATACACCTAGAACATCACTGAAACGTCTTGCTCAAGAAACTGGAGTGTCAAAGTCTGATGAAAGAATGGCAACAAAACTGCTGAAGCTTAGACCCTATATAAAACAACAATAATCCATGCCTTGCCTCAAATGTGATCAAGCTGGCAGGGTTCATTTTTGCACCTGGTTTCCACAGTATGTAGTTGAAGGTGAAATCACTCTGCAACTGACATTCTTTTCACTTACAGGCTTACATATATATGCAAAATAATTGCTACTGGAGTTCACAGAATCTATATCTAACCCACACAGTCCCCCTCCATCCAGTGAAAGTTGGTGTCTGGTATGCTGTTAAGTGCAAGGAGGACTGTGGTACCTGTGTTTTGTTTATGAAATAGTTACTTGTGAAAGATATCTATGTGTAGAGGGACAGCATTTTCAGCACTTTCTGTGATCTGTGAATTGTAACTACTTCATTTTAAATGTTATCGGGCATCAGGCATGCTGATTCATTGACAAAATTCGTATGCGCCTCGCAGCAAGCAGACCCACGGTCGCTGTGAAGCACATACCCATGAAACTGGTCAACAAAGTAAAAATCCTCCCTCATATTTTAAAATTGTTAAAATATCATGATGTAATTATTTTGTTGTATGTACATGTTTTGGGTCTAGCATATATTTTGTTGACATGTTGGTTTTTCCTTGGTGCTGTCATACATCGACTAAACTGCACATGAACAGTAAGCAGTGCAAGTGCTAATAGGATGCTGCAGTATAATATCCATAGATGTCCTATGTATCTCCTTCTTATGGTTCTTATGCATAAAGTATTCTTCTGATAAGGTGAAAAGGAACAGCTTTTGTGCATATCATATGCGTCAGTCTGCTGGATATTTTGGTTCTATATCGGAGATTTCCAATGGAAGTTGTGAAGCAGTTTCAATGCTCAGTCATTCTGCCCCATAATGAAGTAAATTTTACTTCAGGTCATGCAACAACATTTTCATGAATACAACAAACAGTGAATCAAATTTTATGAACAGGCTGTAAGTACTAGTATGCTTAACAAACTGCAAAGTATTCCACCTGGAATACTGTCTTCTAAAAAATTGCATCACTGTTTTATTTACTGCAACATATGCAGCTGTCAGTGCTGCAAAGTCTATTGCAAAAATGGGCTTTGACAAGTTGAATACTCCCATTAATTCAAAGACTGATAATTTTTAATGAAAACATGAAGGTGCATATTTTGGGTAGTATGCCCTTTCCAATTTTCACTGAAATTATATAGATGAACTATATTAAAATAAATTTTACCACCTTCATACATTGCATTTGAGGTTGGCCACATATGATTCAGGAATCACTGACTTTACAATAATGGTGTTATGGAAATTTTGGAATATTATTATCTGAGTCCAAATCTCTCTTAAGGACAGTTAGTAGGAAATAATGTTAGAAAGAGAAAAAAGTTCCACTTATTACATAGCTCCACAACCCATTTAATCAGAAGAAGGTAAAAAATACCCGAAGTGCATGCAATATTTACAAGAGCAATACATAGTTGTGTTCACAGATACTGGAAATATACAAAGCAACTGATTTACAGAAGAGCTACATCTACTTTTCCGCAAATAATGCCGGTATTTTTAGTTTTGAAATGACCCTCACCCCTGAGGCTGAGGTAACACGTTCTTCTTTCCCTGTGATAGAAGGCCTCTTCTTGGGACTAGCAACTATGCTCTGAAATAAGAGCAGAGAACTTTACACTAGGGATTGAATCACGATTCACACGATGTATTGTGTGTTACTGCAAGAAGAGATTTCTATTACAATGACTTACCAGCTTTGTAAATACTGCTACAATTTTCACTGCCAAGATTTTAATAAATTTATCAGCAAGATTATTAAAAAAAAAAACTGGGCACCACTATTCTTTTGAATTTAAAGAAAATCAGGTTTCCCATTTTTTTACCCTGGATATATATTTATATAATTAATGACAACCCCTTAACAGCCTTTGTAACAGATATCCCAGCATGAAGAGACCAAATTTCAGACAACTGTTGATCCAGTAATTCTGAGTGAAAAAGTTTACAGAAGCAAATACCCCATTTGTGACAGTCATGACAGAAACGTTTATTAGTGCTGAATCAATAATAAATGTTCAAAATAGTAGTAACCTGTCATAAAACAGCCCTTGTACAAGCTGCTATTGGTACATCACATATTATGACATTGGTGGAGAATCTTTAATATAAAGTCAACAAGATATATAATTTGGTTTTCATCTATTCTTGGAAGCAAGTGTGAATGTTGGAATTCATGAAATATCATAATCATTAATGTCCACATACATTTCCAGCATGGTGGACCATCTATGCAAGCCATGAATAACTCCAGAAGTAAAACTACAAGTATAGTTGGTGCAAAAAGTTATGGGATAACAGTAACAGCTAGTTAAGATGAATGCGGCCACCGCCTCCACAACCCCCACAGAGGAAAGCCATTCCTGCAACAGGCTATTGATGCCTACTATAGGGCTGAGTGAAATCAAGGCTCCCACATTTTTCTATACAATCAGCTGACAGATGGTTGTCAGGTTGTCAGCCTTAAGCATTGGCCACCCTTCATCCCCAGAAGATTCCTGGTACTCATTTCTGTTAAGAGGCTGAATTAACCCCAGGGCCTAGTATGCCTGGAAGGATTGGGTCAATTGAAAAATCCAGTGACCTCAAAGGGAAATGAACCCACAACCTTCCAGCTTGCAGTATTATATTCAACTGTATTCCATATAAACGGTGTTAAGAAAACTTGACTGTTCCAATGATTTTTGTTAACTACAATGAAGTCCTCATTACAGCCATACTTGCTCTTCTCCAGTTTTACTGTATTACAAATTAACCAAGTTAGTGTAATTATGAACAAGGTAATGGGAGCATACTCGGTGAAATAACCCAACCTTAACATGCTTCCAGCATTAGTGCGACATGAATATGAACACAATTCTTGTATATATATAACTTATGTACATATATACACATCTGTGCAAAGCATCATTGAAGCTATTTATTCTATTTACAGCAATTAGAGTTCACTCTTTGCAACATAGCAAGCAAAGTACTCAATGGCATTTACCTCTTGCTGTTTCAATTCCTGTTCTTTGGCTCGAAGTCGCAGATCTTCTTCACGGCAGGCAGTTTCTTTCATCTGTCTCTTGTTTTCTTCCTCTGATCTCTCCCATTCAAGCCTCATCTTTTCTTGCTCCAACTGGTGAAGTTTTACAGCAAGCTTTTCACCTGTCATTATGAAGGTATTTTGTTGAATGCTGAATAATACTGTGGCATATAAACTGGTTGCTAAGCAGTGTTCGGTAAACAGTAGCCATTGCTAGGTAATGCCAACAACATACACAAACATGACAATAAAAGAATGGTGTTTTCTATGTGGTCCATGCTGAAACTGTTACACACCTCTACAACAATAAAGGGGCTGTGTTTTCTGTGTGGTCCACACCGAGGCATTATCTTTGAAAACTGGTGCTACAGTTCAGTTGTGGGATATTCACCAGAAACGATGTGAGCACAGAAGCTAGAGAATCTTCATTAAGATTCTTTACCAGGAAACGCCTAGTGAAAACACTGCAGAGGAATAGCCATTGTTGAGAGCTGTTATCAAGCAATGACTAGTGAAAGCAGGCTGAGAAGAATTAGCATGAAGTGATATGTAGTGCGGAAATCAGCAATAGTGTTACAGTTTCATGTTCCTTATATTTTGGACTTGTGAAATGTGAAATATATGTATGATGTAGTTATTCGTAGTCACAACCTGTATAAATGGTCAATAAATCTATTCACCAATCCATACTCCATCTATAGTCACTTATAATGCGTGACAATATAACTGGCAATTTTTGCTGTTATAACACAACATGCCTGAAATGTTTAACATGCTAGCCAGTTCATCTGTGTACACTTCGCCTGGTTACTATTAAACATATTCAAATTTTATTTTGATTATACCTTCAATATTGGGAATAATCTTTAAATCATCAATAAATAAAAAAAGATTAAATTTGGAGATTGCTTGCTACAATTTAGTTCAGAATATTTTGTCTCCTATCAGAAAACATAAACGTTAACATACACAAGTCTATACAACCTTACCAGTTCTTTTGTATTTTGAAATCTGGTTTGTTTTCCTAATGTAACGAGCTTAGATTGCGGGTGTCTTGAGAAGGAAATACCAAAGAAAATATTTGGATCTAATAGATGCGAAGTAGTGCGAAGATGAACCTGTACAGTCTTCCAATCAATTAATCAGAACTCTTGGAAATCATGGTGATTAAATGCCTTATATGTGTAATATGAAAAACTGTAAATTCTTTAAGATACTGAGCAAGGTTTCAACATGCAACACATAAGCAAGACAATAAAGTTCTGATTAATTCTTACTATACTTAGGACACCGAAAGATAGATAAATGGTTCCTGTGTTACCTAACAATGTGGAAGGTGAAAGAACTATCCTAAAGCAAGTTTTAATGCTCTACAAAAACGTCAAAACCAGAAACTATTTTAAACATTCTTGTCAGGAAAGAATCCTGGATGAAAATAATTATGTAGGATTTGAGGTTCTCACAGTGGTAGTTATGAAAATTCTCATCTTCAGGGATATAACACAGTGTAGTCTGTATATCAGCCGGCATTTCAGAAGAATGCATCACCTTCATTTTCATGTTCGAAAATCAGCCAATCAAGAAACCAGCAAGAGCTGGTGGTTAGGCAGAATTATTTCATGATGCCAGTCTTCTAAGTTTTTATAATTTTGTATGTGTGTGTGTGTGTGTGTGTGTGGGGGGGGGGAGGTACCAGTAACATTACATTTTAGACCAACCAGGTTGGTGTAGTAATACTGCTGACTTGTAATTAGAAGGCCCTATTTTGAATCTTGGCCTGGCCACTGACTATTTCAACTGAGTGTTGTGTGGTTTTCCTTAGTCCCTCCACACAAATGTCAGGATAATGCTTTGATTAGGCCGTGACACTTCCTTCCAAATCCTTTCCAATACACCATTCTTCAGTCATCCTGCTATTTGATACTACACAGTCTGGACACTGATAGCACCATACAATAAACCCCCCAAAAAATTGCATTTCAGACTCAGTCAGGACAACTAATGAAAGAACTCCGTGATCTGCAGTCCGCAAACGACCTATACTGACCAAGCAACCGCTGCTTGTCAGCAAAGTTAGTGCAAACTTTTATGGACAGAGGCTGTCACGTGGTAAGCGGAAAGGATTCCCACGGCCGTTAATCTCAGTTTCCTAGACCGGATCCACTATTTCCTTGAAATAGCTCCTCAATTATCCTCACGAGGCTGAATGGACCCTGTTCCAGACCCACTATTTCTCAGAAAATCTGATAGCGCCGGCAATCAAACCCGGAACCCCCGAATCTGTAGCTAGGAACTCTGACCACTACACCACAGATGCAGTCTCAGTCAGGCCAAACTGAATATATCTAACCAGAAAACCCCAGGATCTGTAGCCAGGAACTCTGACTGCAGAGGGGGTCTCAGTCAGGCCAAACTGAATATATCTATTTTATAATTTTCTTTAATTTATGACTATAAAAAGAATATCTTACTGAAAACAGCAGTCATTATTTGGGTGGATAAGTGCAAAAATGAAACTCATGCCGCATCTAGGTGAAAGAGCATTTCTTGCCATCATCTTGATAATTTCATAATTGTACAATTCTCACATTCTCCTAACATGGTGTCAGTTGACCCTTCCTATGGAACCCGCAGTATGTACGCTGAAAATCACTGTTCCTGGACCTTTCACACACACGTGAAAAATATCCCCCCTCCCTAGGTCTGAAGTCCATGTTAAGCTGCAGGTCTTGTCAATTAAACATCATTTCTCACAGTCACTGGAGGTAGCATAATCTGCCCCTTGGGTGCTCGCACCTCAGAAATGGTTCCTATACCCTGGCCTCTTGGGCAGAGAAGATAAACATCTGGTGGCACCAAACAAACAACAAAAGAAACATATTCAGAAACAATATATGAAGAATAACATTATACGATATCACACCTCAGATGACAGTAATCCTCATGGTGACCACTGTGAGAACCTCAAAACTCATGATACTAAGGAAGCTGGAAAACAGCTTGTTACATCATTATGCAAATGAGATATGACATAAAATATCAATCCTTCCCTTACCAATATCCTTTCCTTCAGAGGTTGTGTTATTGCTGTACCTCCATCGTTCTTCTTTCTCAAGAATTTCTATGATTTCTCTTTCTTTCTTCATCATTTCATCTTCTTCTGATGTTATGCTGGCAGTACCATAAATCTGTAACAACCATTCCTTGCCTAAACACTATAGTTCAACATTCATGTGTGGCAGAAATGCATATTCCAAAGTAATTCGTACATTCATTCATGATTACTGGGTTCTTGAACTTTGTCCCTCATCTGGTACTCTATAAGAACAGAATGTTCCAGAAACTGGATCTGTTGTCACCCTCAGGTGTGGGGGTGGGAGTCACCTACTCTACTGGTTGAGTTAGAAATAGCTAACCTCAATTGGTGGAGCAGGTTACCTCTTTCTAATGGACTCAACAGAGTAGGTGTCTCCCCACCCACCTGAGGATGGAAACATCCAATTTGCCATGTTGTGTTCTTTAGAATACCAATGGTATGCAGAGCTCAAAAACCCAGTAATCCTGAGTGTTATCATCGTTAGAATATTCATACCATTTATGCTGGATTTATCTGTATAATCATTATACTTTCCTCATGTTTGTGTTCCAGAATGTAGTATTTAGTGTTCTCAATAACAAAATGTCATATTAAATCTTGTTTTGGTTTTTTTTATGGGGTTAATTCCCTTTTAGGGCTGGGGGAAGATGTATATGATTTCTCACGGGAGCCTTTAATACCCAGATATTCTTCACTCCTCACAGTAATATGGCAACTAGCATCTTCAATTCAGCATTACAAAATGGACAAATTTGAGTCAGTTGAAAATGGTTTATACAATAGGCTAGACAGATTACAAGACCTATGTTTGAAAAATAAATTTTCACCAACAGGACACCACTATTTGCCATTCTTACATACTTACTTATGGAGCTGAGCCCTTCTTGAGGAGAAGCCACATAGGCAGCTTCTCAAGAACTTCCCAGCATTTTATGGAACCCAAAGGTTCAGTACCGCGTTCACAAGAGCCCTCCACTGTTCCCTATCCTGAGCCAGATCGGGATCAGTGGAGGGCTCTTGTGAACGCCATTGCCATTGCCATTGCCACTGTTACATACATATTTAAAACATCAAAAACATTTGAAGTCATATAATTTCATATATCAGGCCCATTTTGTGTGCATGCGCACGTGTTTTTCTTCCCGAGATTTGATAAAAAATATTTTTTTTATTTTTAACTCTTGACAATTTTGCCAGAACATGTCCTGACTTCTAAAAGAAAAAAAAGTTCATGTAACACTACTGCTTTATTTTAACTCACATCAAAATATGAATGACAGAGTTAAACATGTAAGTTCATACTCACATCACTGTTTTGTCTGCTGTGTTGGGCTGACAAATCATCTGGTGTCGAGTACAGTTTTCCAGGCCAGTCATCTGAGTGTGCTCTGTCTAACTCAACTCCTGAATCTCGACTGTCTGTTGTTTCTCCATGGTTTGAGTCTGTCTCAGAACAGATGGACTGACGATATAGCTGCTGTTCTGATCTTCTCTCTTCTACAAGAAATGTAGTCATGTCTGGTGGTGGAGCCACTTTCAACTCTATTGATCAAAAACATTACTGTTTTAGCAGACGTTTATGACATTAATATAAATTTGTTTCAGCAAAATATTTTCTGTGAGTAGAGGGCCCAACTGCAATGAACGGGTATTGAGATGTATGTTAATTAACATATGGGCCTGCCAAATGTAAGTAAGGCACATTGCCTTTGCTTGTTGTGTGGTGCTGCTACGCCCATGTGACAGCGTCACAGACACACATTTGTGGGACAATCTAATCGTGGAGGAATTCTTTAAGTACAGCAGACCATGACAAAACAGAATCTGGATTAAATGGAAACTGGCCAATACTTGAATAGGTCTCTGGTACCAAGATTACAGTACAAACACCTTCTCTAATTACCATCAGTAAATGAACTCTTTATAATGCATAAAAAATAAAACACATTTAACAGAAAATAATATGCTTAAATATTTATTATTTCCTGTGCACATGATTTTATTTTGAAATGGTCTTTCTCAAATTTATCTGAGAAGCATTTCTATCATAAACATAACAGAATATGTACAGAATAAGCTGTACATGTGGACTGCTCATTACCAAAGTAGTGTACAGTTGTAATATGAATTTCTGACTTCTGAGAAATGTAAACTGTCTTGAGACTACAAAATCTCATATTACACAAGACGTAACTCCTCACATGTGTAACTCTTTTCATACAACACTCACATGTAGCAATTCCTTGATGACAGTGATAAATAAAAGAAAGTTTAATTTTGTGGTTCATTTCTGCATTTTTTAGATAAAAATTCTGAGGCATATCGTTTACAGATGAGGGCCATTTTCATTTGAATGGTTAACAAGTAGAACATGCATACATGAGCTGTAAAAATCATGTGATTATAATAACCATACATGTACCTGGTTCTAAGTAGCTATCGTCATTGCTGCCTTCAATACCGAGAAAATCTGAACGCTTCCTCCATATCTCCTTTCTGATACGTTTTGTTGAATCGAGCCGTTTTAGGGATGTTACCTGAAAAAATATTCATACCTGTAACATTCATATGCTATGCAGATGCATAAATACTGAAGAACATTCACTTTACTCAGTGAGAGTCAGGTATTTCTTGCAAACAGGCATGTGATATAGTTACTGAGGTCTGAGACCAAGATGAGGATTTCAAATTTCTTCCACTCCACCACTCCCTATGTCCCTAACTGAACATCTCATCCACAAAAACAAAATATATTCAATAATTCTACACAAATATACGCTTTAAGGAAAATTATAGAGTATTATTTACCCTAAAATAAGCGGCCTCCATAGTCTAGGGGTAACATTCCCACCTCATGACTCAAGGTACGCGGGTTCAAACCCGGCAGAGGTCGTAGAATTTTTAAGGGTGGAAAAATTCAGGGAACAAAGTCCTCCGGGAGGGACTTTAAGCCGTGGGTCCCGTGTTGTAGATTTACAGCACGTAAAAGATCATGTCTCTAGGAGACCTCTGAGCAAAATTAGGCAACAATTTCCCACCCAAGTAGTTTCCAATGCCTCTAGTAGATGGGGGAAATATCAGGTACCGATGGCCGACCTCATTGGCTGAACGGGGCTGATAGCACGCACCAGTACCAGCAGGGTATGGCGACAGTAGAAATTAAAGGGGGATGCACAATGGACCAATAACTGGTCTAAGTGCATGGGGAAACCCACCCCCTCTAATAATAATAACAATAATAAT